CCCCCAGCACCTCCTAGTGCCCCCAGCGCCCCCCAATACCTCCCAGCCCACGTTCTGCAGCCACTGCACGGACTTTATCTGGTGAAACCCTCCTACGCGCCCCCCAGCACCTCCTAGTGCCCCCAGCGCCCCCCAATACCTCCCAGCCCACGTTCTGCAGCCACTGCACGGACTTCATCTGGTGAGACCCCCCCAGTATACCCCAACTCCATTCTCTCTCCCCCCAATGAGTTTGCTGCTGCCACCCTTCCTTTAGTCTTAGCATATCTGGAGGGACTGGTTGGTTCAGAGCCTGGGACAGAACCCAGGAGTCCTGGCTCCCAGCCTCCTACTTTGTGGCATAGCAGATGTTGGGGGAGGCGAGGAGTGGGGCGCATGTTAAATATGTGTATTGGGGTGAACTGAGTGTGAGCAGCTCACTGCAGCGGTGAGGTCCAAAGTAACATTGTGTTGCTCTCTTGCTTTCAGGGGGATCGGGAAGCAGGGACTGCAGTGTCTAGGTAAGAGACCCCCAGCCTGCAGGGTCAGTGACCCCCCTGCTCCACTGAGAGCCATGCTCGGGGGGAGACCGTCACTCCCACTCTCAGCCTTGGGGTCCTCTCTTCTGGCTACTGGTGATGGTATAACCAGCCCCCACGCCGCACCCCAGATGTGGTCGCATGTCGGCGGGTTGGGAGGGGAACATTGCCACCCATTCCCAGCACAGAGCCCCATGGCGCTCTAGGCTCTGAACTAGATTTCTTGACTCCGGCTATTTTAGGGACTGGCTGGAAAATTCTGTTTCTGTTTTTAAAACGCCCCAAAATAGCTAATACCGGGTGACCTTTCAAATGCTCGATGCTTTATTCCTTAAGCTTCTTTGACACCTGGGGGCCAGGACTCCTGGGTTCTCTCCCTGGCTCTGGGAGGGGGGTGGGGTCTAGCGGTTAGAGCAGGGGAGCCAGGACTCCTGGGTTCTCTCCAGTGACGTGGGATTGTTTTGCTCTTGGGTGTCTGGCCAGGAGGTCAGAGTCCCTGAGCCAGGGATGGGGGGCGGCTTTGGCATCAGCCTTGCTGGGTTAGAGCAGAGGGGTGGCTGGGAGCCAGGACGCCTGGGTTCTCTGCCTGGCTCTGAGAGGAGAGTGTGTATTTGTGGGGGCTGGGAGTGGAGGATCTGGGGGTTTTGTGTTTAGGGGAGTTCTGTGGGGGTTATGGGGTATCGGGGGGGGCTTCGTGCGGGGTAGGAGGCCTGTGGGGTTAGCTGGGCAGCTGTGTAGGGGATCTGGGGGTTCTGGATGGGGTGGGGAGATTTCTTCCTGCCTCCCCCCTCCTGCAGGTAGGTGTGTGGGGGGGCGGGGGATAATGGGGAAATCCCCATATGCTCCGAATGGGGGTGTGGCTCTGCAGTTGATTGGTCGGTGATGAACTGGGGGAGCGGTTGCCAAGCGATGAACAGCTCTGGGCAGGGTGGGCGGGAGGGGGGGTTCCTGCCAGTCCTAGAGTGGGTGGGGGCAGAGTTTTTAGGGGACTCTGCCCCTCCCCCAGCTGGCAACGTGAGGCCCAGTGTGGTGGGGGCGGGATATGAGTGTTAAGTGGTTGGGGGGGGGACCAAATGGATGGGATGGGGGTGGTTCTTAGAGTGTCCTCTAAGAGGGGGCCATGTGTGTGGAGGGGGCCATGATGGGGGAAACATGCACATGGGGGTGGTTGGAGGGGGGTGTGACGGGTGGATGGGGGTGTGTGCACATGGGGGTGGGGGTGACAGTGGGTGGGGATGTGTGCTCATGAGGTGGGTCAAGGGGGGGCGTGACGGGTTGTGCATGGTGATGGAGAGGAAGGCTGTGGTGGTGGATGTATTTGGGGGCCAGGTGTGCAAGAGCAAGTGGGGTGTTAGTGTCAAGCTGCCGGGGCTGTGTACGAGTGTGTCAAGGTGTGGGGATAGGTGTGCAGGTGCCAAGATGGCACGTGGGGGGTGTGTGACACAGACACCCTTGCACAAGTGTGTGGCCGGAGGCTAGGTGGGGGGTGCCTTTACACACTGGTGGGGGTGGGTGCATGTGGAGACTGTTGGCGCGACTGGCTAGACATGTCGGCGGTGGGCATGAGTGTGCTGACTTTTGCACACGTGTGTGTTGGTGCAGCAAGGTAGAGCTGGTGGGCGCAGATCTGTGGGATTGGTGGCTGGGCGTGTGAATGGGTGTGCATTTACATGAGTGTGCATCTGTATGAGTGTATGCATTTGCACAAGGATGCAGGGTATGTGCACTAGTGTGTAAATTTGCACATGTGCAGGGGTTGCACAAGTATGCACGTTTGCACATATGCACAGGAGTATGCAGGTGAATGTGTGCATATGCACAAGTGCATGCCTTTGCACAAATGTGTGGTGTCTGCATTTGCACGAGTGTGTGCATGTTTGTGTGCATTGGGCTGCGTGGATTGAGGTGTGCATGCAGACCCTTTGTATTAGTGCAGCAGTGCGGGGGAAAGGTGCGCACGAGGCAGGGGTGCGTTTGCACAAGCGTAGCTGGGTGTGCACGGGGATGGCCCTGGGGTGTGGAGCATTTCTGGGGTGTGTGCAGGGGTGGGTGTGCAGGAGGCACTGTCAAGGTGGGTCGTGATTGGGGGGGAGCGTGCACACGGGGTGTGTGGAGGGGAGAATGGCAGGGGGCATGTATTTGCCCCAGGGTACGGCTGGTGCGTGTGGCTATGTGGGGCGGGAGTGTGAGCAACAGGACCCTGGATGGACCCTGGGCAGGGGGAGCTCAGGGCTGCGGGGGGAGCAGGGGTCCCTCCTGGAACCTCGGCCCCCTGGGAGACAGGCAGAGCCGGGGTGGCTGGTGGTAGCGGTGGGATACAGCAGGTTCCCAGACACCCACCCCCCTCCCTTCACTTTTTGGTGCAGCTGGCCAGGGGGAGGCAACGTGGGGGAGCGGTTGCCATGGGAGCCATCAGGCAAGTCCCAAAGGGGGGATTGTTCATTGCATCCCCCTCCCTCGTAGGTAATGAGTTTGCTTCGTCCCAGCCCAGATCCCTGGGGGCCCCCATCACTTCCCACCCAGGGCAGAAAGCTTGACTGAGGGTGGGAGCCAGGACTCCTGGGTTCTATCCCTGGCTCTGGGTCTAGCAGTGGGAGCAGGGAGCAGCCCGTGTGGCATGGGGGGGGGCTGGAGGGCGGATGGGGGGAGGGGGGGGGAGTTGATGGGACTGGTCGGGGGAAGGCTGAGGGACAAGTCGGGGGGGACGGCTCAGGGGGGCAGAGGACAGCTGGGGGGGGTCGTTTCTCTCCCCTTCCCCCTCCCGCAGCATCTTAAGGCTCCAAGGAGCGAGACGGGGAGATTTGGAAGACGGGTCTCCATGGAAACAGGCAGGAGCAGAAACCACAAGTGCCAGGAGCTGGGGGGGCGGCAGATTGGACTTGGGGGGGATAGGGGGGG